TAACGCTCTTGAAACCCTTCCATGCAGTAAAGAGGAATAAGCTAAGTAGTTTTTGGCTGTGGTAGAGCAATATAAGAAATCTAGAAAACAAGAAAAGAATAGTGCCTCAAATCTATCAATATCAAGCCAAACCAATGAGAGATAAGATGGATATTGGAAAGAGACCTTAACAAACCCCACCCCCAATATTCTTCATTAAATTCAAGTGTTGACAAAATTGTTTATGTGAACCACAAAAAAAAAAAAAATGAAAAAAGAAAAAAAGAAATATAAACGAGAAAAAATAATAACCTAGCATTCACTGTCTCAGTCCAAAAAACATGTTGTGTTATGTTATTTAGGAATTCAGATGATTTGCCATGTGGGTCACCCCAAGTTTTTCCCTAAATAATCTCGACCGTCCATTTCCCCTCTCAGCTTCTATTTATACAAGCCTTCCCTTCTCTTCCTCTTCCTAAGCACTAACTAGTTGTCTCTGTTCATCAAGATCTTCCTCTCTCTCTTACCTTTCTCGTTTACAACGCAGAATTCTCTCTCAAGGTCATCAATGGCTTGCTTAGAGGTGTGTAAGGAGGTCAGTGAGAGCTCTTGTTTTCTCTTCTGTATTCCACAAAACTGATAACAATCACCTTTCTCAATTATTAGATCATCAATCCTTTTATCATGGTGTAATCAATTTATCTCTTCTATATAGCAGGGGAAGTTCAAAGATGAAAAGGAAGAATGCACCCTAGATGGAACTGTTGATTGGAGAGGCCAGCCTGCAGTCAGAGCCAAAACTGGAAAATGGATTGCTGGAATCATCATACTCTGTAAGCTCCAAATACCATATCTACATGTTCCATTAATTAAACTCTACTTATTTATACATCAACTACTTTTTCATCATCCAACATATATATGCATGTACAGTAGTTTTCCATATTGTTACTCTGTCACTTTTCAAAGAACCTATCTTTTTCATATTTCACCTTAGAGAAAAAGAAAGGGCATATTATATACCTCATTACTGCTTAGTCCCAACGCACTAGAGAATTATACAAAAAAAGGATTAAATTTTCTAGGAACATGTGTTGCATTATACATAGATATGAGAAGAGATAAGCTATCAAAGAAACAGAGAGGTTAGTTTTTTAACAGAGAAGAAGAAAAGGACAATAGATAGAGATGGAGGTGAGCTGCACCTGGAGCTGATAACCCAACCAAGTGTTGCAACCTTAGTGATGATATGAGAGTGCCAACACGTATTTAGACTCAGAGTTTTGGAATTTGCTTCGAAAAAATAGCCATCCCAATTGCCACCGAACCAACTTCTACTTGCTAAACGACATGCGAGAGAAAAAGGGGTAAAGATAATGGAAAACTGAAAACGCATGCAATTTTGAGGGTTAAGTATAGACGTACCTGACACGTAATCACCTTGCATGATGAGGGTTCTTGACACGTGGCCTAATTTGCCAGAGCAACAAATGATACGGGCAGAACATAGTTCTGTAATTGACACTTTTACCCCCTTCAATCTCCCATTCCACGCAATAATTGTGATAGC